CAGCAACGGCTTTTAACTCCTCTGTGATTTTTTTGGCTTAACTGATTTTGTTGATACTCACCACTGCCATGATAGCAGCCAAAAACTGATTTTTGAATACTTTCGCCCCGAATTTATTACCTCCTATCAGTCTGTAATAGCAGTGTTCAAATGATCATGTTTTTTATTTTGGCTACGTTGCGCACTGATAAGAGATCACCGGCGCCTACATTGTTACACTGTATCGACGTAATCCCAACGCAACTTTGAATTTTGAATGAACTATAAATGCTGCCTTCATTCTAGAAAATACTATCGCAAAACGGTTGGAAATAATGAATGTAACAGAGAATGCGTCCTAGTAATAAAGTAAAGTGACTTCTAAAAGACTGAATGTTTTTTGCGAACTTCGTATACGGGTCCATTTAGTTATAAGCCAACGTTAGTTTTCTGTTCATGTCCCACGTTGGAAACAGCCGAAAACATGTTGCTTGTTTTTTGAGCGGGGCGGATCGCCAACCAGCCTACTGACTTGTTCAGTTACCACTTAATTTTTCTCCTCGTTTCACACGGTCAAAGTCACCTCCATGTCCAACGAAATTTGTTCCTAATGTTTTTATTGATCTCTCGCACAACTGACTCGTTTTTTTTTTGTAACCAATTTCACCATTATCGCTGCATGAAACTTGTAAACAACGATCCAACGCAGCTAATAAAAATGGCGTCGTTGGTGAAAGGAAAAATGAAAGCTTTTCAATGATTGGCCCGTCAGAGAAAACCCAGCCAATCATGTTAATCGTTACATAATACTTCAAACACTTCGAAACCACTTTGGATTTCACCATTGCACTGATGAAAAGAGTCGCGAACATTCCGACACTGAGTTGTCTCCCTTCGATCATACACTGAATACAGGCCTCTTGCAGCCGACAACATTGACAGCGCATTTACTTCCGGTGAATGAACAAGATTTGTTTTCTTACCCGCCTAAAGTTTTGTCTTAGTGTTAAAACGTTGCAGAAAATTGATCCCTGGGCTTAGAAATTCGTGAATCCGCAGAAAATTCTCATCCCTGTTAATTGTGATATTGAATGGGTGATGCTTGAATAAATGGAATAATAATGTTCAAGACCTGTGTTTACTAAGTACAATGTAAAGCAAAATAAAATGATCTTACCAGTAGCCCATTTAGGTATTTTCTTTCTTGGGGCTTCATCATCATCAGTATCGTCATCACTTCTTAGATCAGATATATCGTAATTATCATCACTTGCTGGTTTAGGTACTCTACATAATAAAATTGATTTATACAACTTACTTTTAGCTTAATTTAGTTTCAACTTGATTTTTTTTTTTAGTTTTAAACTTTGTTAACATAATTTGTTTTCTGGGTTTCATATACATCATGGTGGTACCATAGGTACCATATTACCACGGTTGAACTTTAGCACACAACATAAAATGTAGAATTATCCTGGCATGACATTCATTGTCACCTTAATACTGTATCATTAGGTATCTACATGTATAGAATGTGTATACAATACAGACAATATCAAATCTCCCATTCATGGGCACAACACATACAGTATTTACCTTTTTGGTGTCATTTCATAGGATTCACACTCTAATGTCACTGTTGTATTCAATACATTTTTACTTGTATTATGGGCAAGGATATTAGCTTTCAGACGCTCTCTTTCTTCTTTTTCATGTTCTTCCTTTTCCTGTGAGTACAAAATCACAATATTCTTTCAACAAATAAAATAAAGTCATTGATACAGTGATGGTCATAATAGATGCATTTGCCTTATAAAAACAGCTATAAATAACCATGACATATTGGGACAAAGGTACAGTATACAATGTTCACCAAATATCACACCTGTCTTAACCGCTGAGCTTCTTCTTCTTTTCTCATCTCCCGCTCTCTTTCCAACTGTTGTTGTCGTTCTTCTTCTTTTCTCTTCTTTTCCTCTTCACGTTTTCGCTCCCTTCAAAGCAACAAAACTCAATCATTCAATTAATAAAAAAAAAAATCTTGACACAAGTAACTAACATTAAACTTGTCATACTTATGGTAATTGAAAAAAAGCAAAAAATAATAGCAAACTATATTACAAGTCTGAAAAACATTGAAAGAGGCATAGATTCTAACTAGGCTTATAACATATTGTCACATGGGAAAATGTAGATCACAGACTACATCATTTGCAGTCATTTGAATTAGCCATTTACACTCGTAGCCTGACAAGTCACATGAGTGCCATCCAACACATCCTGACAGAACGATGTAGTTGTTCACTTCCCTGACGTTTTTTTTGTTGGTACAAATCAAATTGCAGGAACATCAGGAAGTGACAGCCATCAAAGAGTAACCATTCATTATTTGTAGTGAGTCTCAGCACAGGAAAGATATGTTGTAGCCATACAAGGTTGCATAAGTCCTTACGGTGTTCTTCCTAAAACGTTTTACTGTAGTGAGCCGCTACTCAGATTTATGCCACTACTCTGACAGCTTGTCCGCAGTGCTATAGAAATCCTACTTCAACTGATCTAATCTTTTATATTTTATTGTCAAGCCGTTATGCACATTTACTATTTCTGGTGTTCATGAATTCATTAAACAAAACAAAAAACAGAATTGGCACTTGCTAGCAGATTGAAAGGAAGTATAAAGCTTGATCTCAGTTGGGTTAAAAAATAGAAAGCAATAAACATGACAATGCATTAGACTGGAATTATCGGAAAAACACAAGTCAAGTTTGGCCAACCCAGACTGCTTGAAAGCAATGATGAAATTGAGAAGTAATTCATTATCAATAAATTTCATCACTTTGAAATTAGCTTTGAAGTAAAAGTGGTACCCAAGAGTGCCAAAGAAATAACTACATTCGTGACCAACTTCCATCATTGACTGTGGAGAAATATACACGACAAAGGAAGTTTATCGGTAGATCAAACCCCTGTTACCAGAGACACATTTTCATAATCAGCTATTTATTTCCTTACTGATTAAGCAAGGAGTACAGTTTAAATGTTTAGCTAACACAATTAACCTCCATTTTGAGCAGGAAAATAAATAACAGGCTCTGACTGAAATGGATAGTTCTTATCGCTGCGCAGCTCACGTTAGAATTTCATGTAAACATCATTGTATAGATCACTGAGTTCCATAGAAAACAATATGTGGCCGACAACCTCAGCCCATTTAAGGATGATTTCATAGGTATGATTTTTTTTCTTCAAAACTCCAGATATGAATTGTATATATTTGTAACCAATTAACAATATAACAAAGAGTTACATATATATTAACATTAAAAGTTAACCCAATGTGTGTCCTTACAATGATGGTAATACGTGTATGTGTGTGATGCATGTATGTGTTCGTGTACATGTGAAGTTAGGTGTAGATGAATGCACAGAGATGGAACTACAAGTCGCCAAATACAAACTTAAGGTAGAGATGCAGTTAATTTGGCTTGCTTTTTAATTGAGTAATTAGACAATGAAGATGGTATTATATATCCAACATGTTATATATTTTCTGAAAGCTTATTATACAAACTTTGTAAAACTTGTCTTTATTTTAAATATCCAGAATGCGTTTTTGATTTTGGGTCAAAAATATGCTTTTTTGGACAAAAGTGGTTTAAAAAAAATTAGCTTAAAAACTTCAAGTCCGTTTGTGAGTAAAGTTACATCACTGGATACCTTGGTATACTACTAATTCAAATGCGTCCATTCATCTCTCTAACGGCTTTCAAGTCGCACAGTATGACCTCAAAGTTCACTCTTTTCTATTTTGCATATATATATATCCATGTTAATTGCAGACTTGTTATTTTTGTT